TAGGTGTGTTGACAGGGGGCTGAGGGTGAGCCGTCTGCACCTCCAAAGTCCCTTCTTGGACGTCTGGCCTGCGTGCGCGCGAGTTCACAAGTAAATGGGTCTCCCACAGAAACTGCCCTGGGCTGCTTCGCCTGCGTGTTGAATTTGGCTGTCTGTGAGCCACTCAGGAACGGGGCCGGTGGGCAGAGTCCCTCCCCACTGTTACTCAGCACCTTCGCAGAGTGGAGGGTTCCTCAGCACACTTGTCTGAAGGAAAGACACTGCAGGCTCCTGAGGAGTGGGTCGCGTAAAGGGACCCATGGCCTGTGGGAGGGACTTCCTGGGAAGGCAGGGTGATGGGATACAAGGAGATGGTTACCGCCTTGTGGACTGTGGCCAAGCACCCAGTTCAGCTGTCAAACACCCCATGGCCTCAGGCAGGGATGAACCCTCCAAACTCCAGATCTCGTGGTGTAAAAAGACCCTGTCCCTTCCCTTCCCAAAGGTCAGGGCACAGCTGGGCCAGCAGCTCCTCAGCCAGAGCAGGCTGCAGGGCCACTGGGCTCTGAGCCCCAGCGCCCAGTCCACGGGGGCAGCATAGTGCTCCCCACAGGCAGCTTCTCCACTCGTGCAGCTGCCACAGACCACCCAGACAGTGACCAGCCCCTCACCAGCATGCCCAGTCTCAGTGTGCACCTGCTCATGAGACAGCGCCACGTCCCCCTCCTGTCCCGGGCACTCCAGTAGCTCACAGAATGTGGGCCACCTGCACGTGGCCCCTCACACCAGTGGAACCTTCTATCTCAGGCCTGGTTACTTGGGGCCTGCGGTGGCGTGGATCAGGGACATCCTCAGGGACACACATGTGGTGGCTGTCATAGAGCTGTGAGCCTCCCCAAGCCCTGGGCTCTGGGGCCTCGTGTGGGATCCAGTGCCTGGTTTATAAGAGAGTTTAAGAGATGGGACATCACAGAACCCAGGGTCCTCCTGCGACTAACTTAGAGAGGGTCCTGCTGTACAGCCATGAGCTCTGGTTGCTGGCTCTAACGGGCTCCCTAACCAGGGCCTCCCAGATCCCAGACAGAACTAGCTCTGCTCTCGGGTACACAGAAGAAAGACAATAGAAATGCCCAAAGAGCCGACTTCTGAGGGAAGCTGAGCACCAGCATGGCCGGTCAGCTTGTTCTGAAAGTGGACTCAGGGCAAGGAATAGAGCTGCTGTTCATTTCAGCAGACACGACCCTAGGCTCCAAGAGAAGGAGCACAGGTCAGACGCTGCACCACAGGTCAGTCTTCTATGTCCCAGGACTCTTCAGGAAACAGCTCGGCCCGACGGCCTGGCCAGCACAGCAGCCTCCCTGCCCTCAGAGGGGAGGGCTCAGTGCCAGAGGATCCCCGATGCAACCTCTGGACCTAAAGGGGGCTGTCCAGGCCCCAAGTGGCCTTTGCCCTGGTGGATGTGCTGGGGCATGGGCCAGCCCGGCCAAGCATGCAGGATGTGCATGACTACTGGCTCTGCAATGTCCTCGTCCTGCGAGACCTGGGAAGGACCCCAGTGGGCAGGGCAGTGAGGCCAACAGCTCACCCAGCCCTGGGCGCACGCCTGCCGCAGCCCATGTGGCGCCCCACGCCTCTGCCAGGGCTGACACAGGCATTGCTGCTGTTTTAGTCATCAGACCCCGAATTCACAATCTTAATTCAGAGAAAATCTACCCAGCTATTTCCATGTATTTTTAAACGTTAACAGCAGACGGAGATTTCGTTTTATTTATATATGCATAGCAGATAGCAAAACTGTGACAGAAAAAGAAAAACAGACTCTACTCAGCTGACGACAGGAAGATGGCTCCAGAGTGGGGCCTGGAGAAGTGTCCCTCTCTGGCCTCCTACCTCAGAGGGACTTGGGGTGTGTCTGCCCTCAGCCACCCCTGGGCCGACCCCAGCAGGTAGACACGCCCTGGGCACCGGCAGTGTGGCGTGTGTGATGTTGCTGGTGGGTGCAGTGTTTGTCTCAGAGCCGAGCCTGCATCTCCCTCACGTATGGCCCACAAGCTGAGCCGGTTGTCCCCCAGACGTCTCGGTGCAGCAGTGAGTGTCGGAGTGAAAGGGTGCACTTCCTATAGGAATGGTGGCTGCAGCTGCCAGCCCCCAGATGTCCAGAAGGGCACAGGGACCCAGCAGGGCAGGACAACTCCAGGCAGGAGGGTGACTCAGGCATTCCCATTTTGAGCTAATTAACATTTTTCCTAAAATACTTGATGCAAAAACGTACACATAGAGTCCTGCAGTTACTTGAGATCCTACTCGTCAGAAATACCTGCTCCACAGGAGCACTCCGGGTGCTGGGCCAGCCTGCCAGGGGCTTCTTGCCACCAGGGAGCTGCACATGGCCTTCTTCCCAGCAGAGTCATTTCTCCAACAGCACTTAGTGTCCGCCATGCAGACACTCACGAGACACAGAAGCCTCAAAGACTGTGAAACTTCACCTATTCACAGCCACACACTCATATCATCCAAAATACTCACAGTCAACTGGACTCAGGGGGCGGAGAGAAGCACTCACCTCCACACAGCCATGTGACGCAAGGGCCCAGTAGGTTGGTCCTCTATTTAGAGCCTGTGACTGGAGGCCCAGAGCCTCTGTGCTGCTGCTCTGGAACCACAAGGCTGGGAGGAACAGCCAAGGGAGATGCAAGAAACCTCTGTGCAGCAGGCAGGTCTTGGGTCTTGGAGAAATTTTCTTTTATGATCACCTTTTGCTGTGTCCTTGACACCAGCCAAGTGCTGGAGGGGACGCAGTTTTAACAGGCACTGAAGGCCTGACACAACCTCTTTATGTGCGATCTCTTCTATTTCTTAAAAATCTTCTGGAATCTATTAACATGTCATGCGTAAAGAGAAGGAACTCAACTTTTGTGAATCAAAGTTCTGAATGAGACCATTGGAGTTTTAAGGAGGGTGTGGGGCGGGGCTCACTCTGCCCACCCTGAGCGACTCTACCCCAGGGTCGGTGCCATGGATGCACAGGGGAGCTGCCATTCAGCAAGCACTGGCAGGACAAAAGCGCCTGCTCTCTGAGGGGTCGGGTGTGCCCCCGACAGCCAATCCACACCTTCAGCCTGTCCCTGGTCAAGAGGCTCCAGGTGGCTGAGCCTTGTGTGGTCAGCTGATGAGCAAGACTGAACAGCATACTTGCCGAGAGTACCTTGCACGCTGTACTCCCTGTGCCCACTGTGCCTTCTGTGCCCATCATGTCCACCATGCCCCATCAATCATGCCCTCTGTATCTACTGGATCCACCATGACCTCTGTGCCCACTATGCCCTCTGTGATCCTGTACCCTCCATGCTCTCTGTGCCCACTGTGCCTACCATGCCCACC